AACTATATATATATATATATATTTTATATATATATATATATATATAATATATATATATATATAAAACATGAAGTTTTATTTGGCATATATATCTCAAAAAACTGACCCTTACTTCAGATGTCTACCAGTTGTAAGATCCCAGGTTACCCAAAACTTCTGTCTGATTTGGCTAAAAATTGGGTTTGCCACAACTCTTTTCCCAGGGTTCAATAATCTGCTAGAGAAAGTCACAAAACTGAAGAAAATAGTTTACTTAACTGTTGTCAATTTATCACAAAGGATAAAAGGATACAAAAGAACAGCCAGGTGAGGAGAGACAATGGGCAAGACGCTAGGGAAGGAGCACCAGAACGTCCCTGCCACCCTTCAAGTAATTCAGTAACCTGGAAGCTCTCCAAGACCTGTCCTTTTCGGTTTTTATGGAAGCCTCATTAGGTGAGTATGAGTTATAAGTCACTCACTATTGGTTATCAGCTTTACCTTTAGCCCTTCTTCCCAGAAGTTAAATGAGCAGGGCTTAAGTACAACCCTCTAATCATATGGTTTTGACAATCTGCCACTGTCCTGAGGCTATTTAAGAGCCCCCTGCCATCAGTCATCTCATTAGCACATAGAAAACTCTTCACTTCAGAGACTCCCAAGATTTTTAGAAGATGTGTACCAGGAATCAAGGCAGAAACCAAACACGTATTTCTTATCATGTCACAGTATCACAGGGAGAGTTTTCTGGGTTGGCTCAGAGTTAATAGGACTTACACCGTCATATACCTGGACTTGAGTCATTTCCCCATCCAAGCAGGTCCTATGTATGAAGGTGTGGGTAGAAAGGGTTTTGGGACCTACATCACCATATACAGTACAGAAGGTGGGTAATTTACATATTTTTAAGGGTATGTAATCAAGAGTATTACATAAATGGTGGCTAATACATTTAATAGTGTCTTAGTAAGTTTTCTGTTGCTATAACAAAATTCCTGAGACTGAGTGATTTTTAAAGAAAGGAAGTTTATGTTTGGTCATGGTTTCGGCCACTGAGAAGTCCAAGATTGGGCTGCCATTTCTGGTGAAGACTACAGGCTGTCTCGTCTCATGGTGGAAAAACAGAGGGCAAATGGTTCATGGGAAAGTAAGAGAGGAGAGTTTGATGTCACTTTCCTATAACAATCTGAGCTTGTAATAACTAATGCACTCCTTGAGAATGAACTCACTTGTGAATGAGAATGACACTCCTCCATTGATATGGGTGAAGCCTTTATGCCCTAATCGCCTCCCATTGAGCCTCAGCTCCCATTATTGCCCTACTGAGACCAAGCCTTAACATGGATTAGGGTTGAAATTAACCATATTTGGGACCAGCAGATGCCATAATGGTTATGTCCCTAAACTCCCACAAAGTAAACCGTGTTTTTATTTCTCAATTTGGTGGCTTAAAATTCACACCAGGCGTGTGTGCATGCATGCCCAAAATCCCAAGAGGAGAATGAAGGAGAAGTGATTGTGACATGGCCATTTGCCCTGGAGAGCGATTTCTTGCCTTCCGTTTTGCTCCATTTTGACATACACATTTATGAAACATCATGACGCTTATTTTCTCTTGGCAGAATGGGATAAGATGGCTTTTCTGTTAGGAATCTTGTAACGACTAAATATGATCATGTGAATCAAGTTGTTAATACATACTCGTCAGATGCAAAGCTCTCAATAAATTTTTTGTTTTTATCCATATACATCCTCTGAGTCTCCCTAATAAATAAAGGCAGTAAGCTATTTCTAAGCTTACTTAATTTATGCTATATCTAAGCATAAACTATTATATGATTTTTGTTTAAAAATCTGTCTAGAAGTAAAGGAAGATAAAGCAGAGGAAGTGGCAAGTTGAAATCATCACATTTTGGAATTTGAATGTTTTCTTAAACTTCCGTCTATTTGAAGTTTACAAGTAACCCAGTTAAACATAATTCTGTATGGTATGTGTTCTCTCTCTTCAAGGTCTAAGCATGAGTTAATGGGAAAAAGTGTTGTGGTTGTGTTACTGGAGGGGGAAGCATGGATAGAATGCATAGCTCTTGGGCCTTGGTCTCTAAGATTAGAGACCTGTCTCCAAACACAAATAAAGCCACAGCCATGAGAAAAAAAAAGTAGGAAAGGACTAAAGCTTTAATTAGTACACTTATGAGAGGGTTGAGTAGGCAAGCTACCAGATGGTAATTGCACCCACAAGGGAATGGGGACTTTCTTTAATTGTGAGATCTTGTCATGAATATTTAAGAAAGGAGGTCTGTCATTGTTCATGGCTCTATTGTTTGTTTCTGGGGACTTTTGTTGCACTGGCACACTTCTGGCATGAGAAGAGGAAGTCTAGTGCCCAGTAGAGAAAAGTCATAGGTGCGCTCAGAGTGGAAGGAAGGTATGGACCTGTGGTAAGGATGACTTTACCCATACCAGACTAGAACCCTCAGAGTAAGACCACATATAGGCCAAGTCACCTGGGAAGGGGGCAGATGGTTACATTCTCTGGGTCCTCTAATGACAGTTGAGAAGTAAAAGTCAGATAATCTTTTCCTTGTTGGTGCCAGGAGACCTGGCTGTAAATCCTGACAGGTGTGGGAGGTGTTAGATGCAATTTCTGTTGGAGTCTTGGAACATCCAGCTCATATCTATCTGTCTTCTCTAAAGAAAAGCTGCCTTTAAGACAGCCGTTTTTGTCTTCAATTATATTGCTTTCTACTTTTGATTTTGGGCCTGTACAATATATTTGTGAAGTAATAGATATATTTGCATATATATATATATATATATATATATAGTATACACACACACACATATATGTAAGAGAAATTAAAATTACATGCTTCTCCAGGAAATTCAGACAATGGCTCTTATGTTATAAGGATAATATCTTGTGGTTCTAAGTCAACACACAATTTACCTTGTTGTAAACCATTCTTTTTCCCCATGTAGTATCACAAACGTCTTGCATTCCAGATCAGTAATGGTCACTGTATATTATTATAAAGTTAATGCATCTTAGAATCATTCTGGTCTATGCTGTACATCATCCTGGGCAAAAATGTCAGCTTTGAGCTTGAAGCTGCTCTCAATCTGTCATCATAAATGATAAATGAGCATTGGAGTCTTATTTTCTATTGTACATTATTGTCCCTACAAGAATGCAAGACCAGCATATCTTGGCTTGCTCACAAGACCCTTTATGAAGATAAGATCTTTACTTGAAAAGCAGGGAAACTTACATTTCTAACTCAGTAAATAATGTAAATCTACTAAAGTTTTGGTTCATTGCCACTGGAACTTAACCTAAGTTTTATTTTTCTATATAGATCTCAACTTAAGCATTTCAATTATTTTAAATTCTGTAATTCTTGGTGCCTGAAGTTGAACTGGTACCATTTTTTTTTTTCAAAAAGATATTTTGGAACACTTGTCAGCAAATAAGATATAGGTAAATGTTGAATGAGAATTCCCCATAGGTCTCACATTTCTACATCTCTGTTGAGCAAAGCATTAACTTCTGTTTGCTCTGGACTATTTCTTCATGGATTTTTTTTGTGTAGTGAATAGTCTTACAAGATAAGGATTGTATCACCTTCTGGAGCAAATAACAGATCTGCTCATAGTTTTAGAAGATAAGAGATGTCTCTCTCCAAAGCAAATATCAAGAATGCTAATTGTCCAGCCAAATAAAACAAGGTGTCTCTCTAGTGCACAAGGTAGGCAATGCTACTTGCCTATTCTAAAAATTTGGGGTTTCCTAAACTCTATTTTTTCCCTGTACTACAACCCACTGAGCACAGATGTATCTATCTAGACCCAACTGTGCTATTCTGAGGATTTAGAAAAGGATAGAAATACACTGAAGTCCATGCTGTTTATTGTGCTATGAAAAAAATACTGTTCTTTTTTTTCTGATTCTGGACTCATTCCTTCTGCCAGTTTCTTCCATGAAGCTTTGGTAGGTGAACTTCTTAAGTTACAGGCAGGATAAAATCAGTACCCTTCACAGTTTGCGACAATATGTGTAAGAAAATGCAAAGGATTCTGAGGATTGCAATGGAAAGTTTACTTTAAGAAACCAAATGCAACACAAATAAACAACACATATTGATATATTTATTTAGATTATTTCTAATTCATCATTGATTTTAAAAATTCTATTTGCCACCAAATTTTGTGCAATATAAAATACGTTATACGAGGACCAGCAGTTGGTGTAAGGGCTATGTTGCTGGACTCCCATGTAGACAACCTCTGTTCTAGTCCTGGACCCAGTGGTTTAAACTCATGCCAGGCATGTTTGTGTGAGAATGAGGAGAATGAAGAGGAGAATGAACGAGAAGGGATTGTGGCGTGGCCATGCCCCCAGGAGGTGATTTCTCGCTTTCTGTCTCTCTGTCTCTCTATCTCTCTGTTTTTCTGATGAGTGCACACACCCTATAGCAAAAACCGTATATATAGAAAAAACAGTATATATATATATATATATATATATATATATAATATGGCTGAGAGTGGAGCAACATCAATATTATTATGAAGGGATCCTTGGAACAAATATTAAAATATTTCTTTAGAAATAAGATATAATGTGTGTGTATGTGTGTGTGTGTGTAATGATTATTATTGTAAGTGATGTTTATATCAGAGATGTGTAATACTTAGAATAAATATTAGTAAATTAAATATATTTACATATATACATTTCTACACTGTTGATGAGAATGTAAATTAGCTCAACCTCTGTGGAAAATTATATTTCGGTTTCTCAAAATCCTGCAAATAAAACTTCCATTTGACCCAGTAATCCCACTCCTTGGTATTTACTCAAAGAATAGGAAAACACTCAATTGGAATGACACTTGCAGATCCATATTTATGACAGTATTCTTGACAATTGCTGAGACACAGAGCCAACCGAGTTTACAAAAACTGGTTTGGAAACCATGGTACCTTATACTATGGACTACTATACAGCTGTAAGAACCAGTGAGATCCTATTGTTTAACTAAAAATGGATGAATATAAAAGACTTAATGATGAGAAAAGTGAGCCAGACTTTGAAAGATACACATTGAATATCTTCACTCAACTTGTACTGAGTGTTTGCACTTTATGACAAAGGCTGAGCAATCTGAAGATGTGATGATGGGTAGGATGGGTGTGGACGCTAGAGACTGTAAGAGAGGAAAGTGGTTGGTAGTATGGATAGTGGGCGTGAGAAAAATGTTAGGACAGTAATGTCTGCTTGCAAATGTTATTTATCTCTTAAACTAGTCTGCAGATTGTTTCATGACTGCTTTATCAAATTATGGAAGTTCAAGTGCAATATGACATTAGTACTTGAAGCCTACAAATGATAAACATTTTGGTATTTTCTGGAAATAGTTTATCGTGTACCTGTTCATTTGTTTGTCATCAAA